ATATATGTCAGACATAGTTAGGAGAGTTTTGAATATTATAAATATTGCAGAATATAATAAGGATAGAATAGGAATATTAGCGTTGGATATATTTAAAGCATTTGATTCAATTCAGTGGGAAACGATTATAGAATTGATTAAGGCTTATGGATTTGGAGATAAATTTACTCAAGTTATTTCAAAATTATATCAAAAAGGGGTTGCTAGGGTAAAAGTGAATGGGATTTTAACAAAAGAGATAATTTTGGAAGCGGGTACAAGACAAGGGTGTCCTCTATCCCCAATATTGTTTTTACTAGCTATGGAGATCTTAGCAGTAAAAATAGAAGAAGACGAAAATATTATTGGATATAAAGGTGTTAAAATTTATTTGTATGCCGATGATACCCTGATTGTAATGAAAAATCCAGAAAAAGATATCAAAAAGATTAAGATGCATTTAGAGGAATTTGAAGAGTTTACTGGATTATCTATAAATTGGGCTAAATCAGAAATGTTATTAAATTGGGATATAAAAAAAGGAAAAGAGAAATTTAAAAATCAATTCGGAATAAAAGTTAAAGAAAATATAAGATATTTAGGAATAATATTATCAACAAAGATAAATGAAATGAAAAAGTTGAATTATGACAGACTGATAAGAGAAATTGATGAGAAAATCGGGAAGTATAAGAAATTAAATTTCTCTTGGTTTGGGAGAGTGGCATTAAGTAAAAAGATGTTATTACCGAAATTCAATTTCCTATTTGAAATGCTCCCAATATATATCTGAAAAGGATATGGAATTATATCAAAAGAAAATTGACAAATTTTGTAATGGTGATAAAAGGTCTAGGATAGTTTAAAAATTAATGTATCAAAATCAAAAGGAAGGAGGTCTTGGGATATCTAAATTGATTAATCCTTTCAAGTGAGAACTGTAGTTAAAATAATTGTTGGTCAAAACGAACTATGGGGAAAATTGGAGTTGGGAGAAATTGAAAAATGGGGAAGAATATATTTTATGGAGAATATAGCGGAAAAAATTAAAGTTAGAAATGATTTGTTAAATAGTTTGTTGAAAACTTGGAGTAAATTTGACAGAAAATTGATTCCAGACAGATTACAATTGGGGAAGTTGGAAGATGGGGATTTTCCCATAAATTTAAATAGGGAGAGGAAACAGGTGTTAAAAGAGGAAAATCTGGAAGGAATAAAAGAATGGATAAATGTGGTAAGAGATGATTTTAAAAAAGAGGAAATATATGAAAAGTGGAAATTGAATTGGTGGGAGAAGATACAGGTTAATAATTGGAATAAGAAATATAAGGATAAAACGAGGGCAGAAAGGTTAAAAATGGAATTTGAAGAAATAGTATCCCAATTAGGAATGGAAGAAATTGGAATTAAGGGATTGGTTAGTAAGGTATATAAAATTATTAATTTGGATAGTAATTTACAAATGGTGATGAAAGATAATTGGGTAAAAGATTTAGAAACAGATATTACAGAACAGGAATGGATTTTGAATTGGAATAGTAGAATAATGAGGACCTTATCAATAAGACTAAAAGAGCATAGTTATAAAGTTATCTGGAAATGGTACCTGTTCCCAATAAGATTATATAAAATGAATAAAAGTGCTAGCAAATTATGTTGGAGATGTAAAGTGGAGAATGGGATATACGAACACATGTGGTATGGATGTCGTAAAGTGAAGAATTTTTGGTTACGAATAGAAGAATTTAGTAAAATAATTAAAAAGAAGGTAAAGTTGGGAGTAGATACCATCCTTATATTAAAGTTGAATGATAAGGTGTTAACAATTGATGAAAGAGAGCTTGTAAGGATATTGGTCATTATGGGACGAATTGTGATTGCAAGATACTGGAAATTGAATATTGAATACAAAATAAATGAATGGTTCAGAGAAGTTTGGAAAATTGCTCTTAATGATAAGTTAACGTGTGATATAAAATTCAAAAAAGGACTATTGAAAGAAAATATATTTTGGAGGATATGGCAACCATTTGTGGACTATGCAATCGGGAACTTGGAAGAAATAATGCCAGTGCCAATGCAAAGAGAATTTTGGAAGATCTGAAGATGAAGAAAAAATTCTTCCACTTCTCCCTATTTTGTATTATACACTGGGTGTGGTTTTGTGTTTTGTGTTTTGTCTTTAATTAAAAAAATTTTAAAAAAATATTGTACTTAAATTAGGGCTTTAGAGTAAAAGTTGGTAATTATCTCATCCAGTTTCAATGCTCTGTCCACAATCCATTCTAGTGCAAATCTTACAGTCCTATTTGTCCCAGCTTTGTGACTGCCAAAAATGGCCGATGTCCCTGCTGCTGTTTAGGAGAGCTAGCTTCGGACCTAACAAGGAAATTGCGAAGCCCTCTCCTTCCTTCACTGCCCCTACAAGGCGGCTATGACCCGTAGGGTCTCCTGACAGCAGTTACCGGCTGGATTTCACGAAGCTCGGCGGAGCTCACTATTTTCCAGCTACTCTCGCCACAACATCAACTGGAAGCCTGGTACAATCTGTACAAGAGTGAACATGGAAATTATAAATTCCCAATCTCTGAAGTTTTTAAAGCAAAACATCAGAGATTGGTTTTCCATCATCATCATCATCATCATCATCATCATCATCATCATCATCATCATATCTTCATTTTTAAAATGTATATGCTACCCAACTGACATTACAGAGGATTGGACCAAATGATTCTTGTAATTCCTTCCAAGTCTACAATTATGTGATTATGTGATTTCTATTTGATATTTGCTTCAATAGCATCCTCTACTAAATGTTAAGGAGTAAGCTTTGTGTACAGTTCTTTACATAGATGATCATCTGAAGTCCTCCAAAGTCGGCATGCTGAGATTTTTTCCTCCTGCCGACAAACAGCTGATTTTGCCACCAAAGCTGGTTCTTTGGCAGTATGCTCCCAGATTTGAACAATAGCAACCAAAGACAATCTTCAGACAATCATGGACATACCTGAGAAGAAAAACCTTGATCATTGCAATTTTCTATACGAACAGCCGGGGGGTGGGGAGGTGTTGGGTCTCCATTTTTTCCTTTAAGTATTTATTTGTTTTAAGCACACCTCAGTTTTAATTGCTTATTTTTACATTTCCTTTTTTAGATTGATTTTTACTTTTAAATGTTAATTGATTGAATGCTGATTTATTTGAAACCCTTACTGGATTTCAAACTGATTTTTTTGTGTTTTCTTTTACTGCTTTATTATGCTGCTGTAATTCACTTTTGCTTTCTCTGTATGGAAGTTGACAGAGATTACCTGGATAGTAAAAGTGATCTGATGTGATTTAAAATTGTATTGGATTTTCACTTCATGGATTTTGCATGTTATTAATTTTTAAAAGTTCTGATCTATTTTTTTTCCTTTGATGGAAATTTACCTTTCCCCCCACTTATTTTTATTGGGGAAAGATTATCTCAAAATTCTCTGAGGCTATTTTGTTATGATGCTTCTCCTGTTCTTGAGAGTAACTGTTTGAGTCTGGCTGTAAAAGATCAATTACATAAGAGTTTTGGATTGTATCTAAAATACTAACAATGTATCAATTTAAGGATAAAGCTTTTGGGAAGCCTTTGGAAAAAAACGCTTTTCAACTTCCAATTTCAAATTGAAAATTTAGATTGAAGGTTTGATAAAATAACAATGGTTTTAAATAAACCTAAAGATAAACTGAACTTATAATTGGCTGAATTGGAATTTAATTTATTGCTGTCAGATTTGAAAGAAAAGGAGTTTGGTCTGAAAGCTGAAAGCTAGTTAGAAAAGTCGGAAAGGGGCATGGATTCTAAAGTTGACAGAAGCGATGAATGATGAACTGGATTTTGCTAAGATGATTGATGGAGGTTGTGGAATATATTTATTATATCTAATTTGAAAACAAAGAGAAGTTGCATTTTAACATGTAGAATGGTTTTTTTAACAATAAACAACACAGTAGCCACAACACCGACTTATCATTTAGGGGAATGGAATCCAATTGTTGAGAAAACTCCCAGTTAAAATTTTAGGGAAAAGCATTCTTATTAAGAATCAGTCGAGAATATTTGATCCTGGACAGACCAGAGACAATGATTTTGGTGGTTTAGGTTAGATTAGAAGCCGTTATGGAATTTCTGCAAGTAAAATACAATAGAGTGTTGACAGAGGGCTTTGAAGTTTAACTCTGTTGTTGCTTGTACCTACTAATTTTGCATTTATAGTAGATAGATGTCAGGTCAAATAAGTGGGGTAAGCAGAGTTGTAGAAGTTCATAAATTATGTGCCTGTTTTGCTGGGGAGGTAACTATTATTCTTGAAATATATTGATAGGTTTTCAACTAGAAGAGACAATTTATGTGTATGTCTGTTTTTTTCTTTTTATGCACATTTATTTTCTTTTTTTGTCTTTAGTTTTGCTTTATTTTTGTATTTGTTTTTCATTTCTTGGAATTTGTATTTTAACATTCTGAATAAAAATAAATTATTTAAAAGATGATCATCTGTACATTACCTGTAGTTAATAAGAGCAGTATTCAATATGTATGAAAGATTGTGTGGTGGGCTGGTTAAGTTACCAAACCTTGAGTAGGAAGACTTTCTTGTTCTTCATTAGGCAAAGAAGCATTGGTGACTTTGGACCAATCAGTCTCAGATCAAATCAGCATTAGTTCTGTGATGAACCAACTGAAGAACAAAACCCCTTGAGTTGTGCATTGACAGCTTTGCTTATGTGAACCAAGCAACCCAATGCAAATACACAGGCCTGTAACATAGTTTTATATGTGAAAGAAGTTCTCTGAAAAAGGCCTGAAACATTTTCAGAATTATTTTTTAATCATTCTTTCCGTGTTTATTTGCAAAAAAAAAAAAAAAGGAATATAGGTAGTAATTGCAATAATTTTAAATGCAATTCTATTGCTGTTGAACTAGTGAGCTTTTTGAAAATTTCAATTAAAAACATGATAGTAACATATGGGGTATTTGCAGGTATGTTCCATGGAACTTTCACGAACCTGAGCCAGGAGTTTACAACTTCAGAGATGACAGGGATCTGGTGTATTTCCTGAAACTTGCTGATGAGATTGGCTTGTTGGTCATATTGAGAGCGGGGCCTTACATATGTGCAGAATGGGACATGGTAAATATTTTCCTGCTTATTCGTGTTGACTTGCCCTTACATGGTAAAATCTGAAAAAATAATTTCTAAATCACAAAAAATTCCTGTTGAATGTAAGGAAATTTCAAAATCAATATTTTGAAATACCCTAATTACACTAAATCAGTGGTTGTAAAATATGTGATTTTCAGTTTTGTCTAACTGAAATATTGAACCTTAAAGAGAAATTTGGAATACAATTTTATGTAGTTTATGAATTAGACTTTACTTTTGCAATAGGCTTCTCCATGGAATCAGATTCACTTAGATGTATGGAAGTATGTATGTACTACAGTATGCATGCATTTAACAGATTTATATGCCAGCCCTACTCATACACAGTAATTGTGATTATTGAGTGGCTGGATAGAGATATATGGTTATTTATTTAATAATCATAAGCTATAAATATTGACATTTTCTTTTCTAAGGAAGAAATTGCAATAATTATTTACTTGGGGCAAATTAAGATATGAACTAAAACTATTTTGTATCCTTTGTTCCAGTTGAGGTGGGAAGGATATCTTAGATCTGCATTTTTTTAAAAAAAAATTTTGACAAGAACCACATAATGTTAATCCAGGTCATTTTTATGCTCAACTGTAATTTTTGAATTATTTTGTATATTTGGAATGAGGGAAGGACCTAAAAAATTCAATATATGCTTAATCAGTTCTGCTGACATATGTGTTCTGCGGCAATATATGCCGATATATATTGATAAGTTTAAGAGAAACTTTGTTTAATAACATATTCTGCTAAACATGAGAATTACTTATGAGAACAGAGCTTATGTGGTCTTAGAATTGTTCCGTCTTCCCATTTTTATGGATTTATTAGATTGGATACTCTAGGAAGAATATATATATATATATATTATTCTGACTTTATAGGGTGGTCTGCCTGCCTGGTTATTAGAAAAAGAATCAATTGTTCTTAGATCTTCTGATTCAGGTAAGAAAATAAAATAACAAAATATATTATGATATCTGTAGTTATATGTGATGAAAATAAAATTAGGTCCTGGAAATTTGTGTTTGTGATCCCACAATTTTGCGACCATTCAGATAAATATAATACAGGTAGTCCACAATTTACAATTGCAAATTGGGATTAGAGCTTTCATCACCAAGCAATTAGGTTGTTAAATGAGTTGTGTCTGATCTTTCAAACTTTTTTGCCATCATTAAGCAAAGTACACAGCTGTTAAGTGAATCTAGCTTTCCCCATTGCTGCTTGTTAGGAGACCCCTGGTTGTAAGTATAAGGGCCGGTCAAAAGTCACTTTTTTTAGTGCTGCCATAATGGTACTTCCAAGAATTTTGGTTTACTTGCATCTGAACCTTCTCTGGAATGATCTAATGAATATGGTATTTTAAATTAGGAGCCTGAGTGGCATAGGAGGCTAATGCCTCCTACTAAGGCAGCATTTAACATCCAGCTGCCAGCAATTACTGCGAGTTCAATTCTCACCAGGCTCAAGGTCGACTCAGCCTTCCATCTTTTCTAAGGTGGGTAAAATGAGGACCCGGTTTGTGGGGGCAATAAGCTGACTTTGTATAAAAATATACAAAAGTATGAAGGCTATTGCTTAACGCATTGTAAGCTGCCCTGAGTCTCTGGAGAAGGGCGGCATATAAAAATAAATAAAAATAAAATAAATAAATAAATAAATAAATATGAATGGATTACTTATAATATTTTATAATCAAATGAAACAAACAAAATGTTAAAAATTATGATATTTATGTAGTTATTTACCAAGTACATCTAAATTATATTAAAGTAACCAAAATATCTTTACAATCCCCAAGGCATGTCACAACTTTTGAGCACCTCTAATATTTGGAAATTGAAAGTTGAAAAATTTGACACTTCCTAAAAATTGCTTTGAGATGTATGTGTATAGACAGCTACAATGAAATATATAAATACTCTGTTATATTTTTTTCAGACTATTTAGCAGCTGTAGGAAGATGGATGGGGGTCTTATTACCAAAGATGAAGCCTCACCTTTATCAGAATGGGGGCCCCATTATTATGGTGCAGGTAGAATTTTGTTGAATAATGTTAAGTTCTACAACTTTCAAACTTAAGAATGTTTTGTTTTTTTAAAGAAAGATACTGAATAAAATTAGTGTATTTATTTGGAAATGTAATTCCTAAACCAGTCTCTTAGAGTTTTTGGATTTCAGTCCTGTAAAAAGTTGGGTAGACTCATCTGATAAGCATCAAGTTAGTAAATATTGCACTAAAACTTTTACCATTTTAACTGGATACTCATTTTTGATCACTTACCCATTTATATAATTAATATACAATCTTCATGCTGAAGTGGTTATTTAGAAATCCTTTAGACTTATGAATTGATTTTTGTTTAAGCAGCTAGTGCTGAAAAATGCTAGGTCCATTAGTGTCATATCTGCAAATTCATACCAATTCAGTTCATTTTTTATTTTCTAGATTTTATTCATACATTAATTCATCGTAGTTTCTAAATTATTAGGTCTCATTCCAGTGAAATAGTGGGTATAATTTCTACAAATCTGATCTACAATCTCTTTCATTGCTATAAAATGTGTTCATTTTTCTTTCTCAAAATTAAAGCTTATAAATTAGGCTGATGTCTGAAAAATTCATACTCTGATAGATGAACTTTGATAATGTCTGCAGCTATGAAATTCTGAGAAAAATGTCTTCAGATCTGCATCTGACTAACAAAACCTTAATATGGCATTGACCTCATAACAAGAAAGCATTTCAGGAGAATTCAAACTTAGCACCTTTTGAAATTAGCTCAGATCTGTGATACATTCTCACCTATTTCTCACCTTGGATTGGATCTCACCGTATGGATTGCCTGCCAGGGGGGAGGATGAACACCCCAGGGATGAAACGGAGGCTGCTGCTTGTGTGGAAGAGAGACCAAGGCCGGAAAGAGACAGCTCAGGCCTTCGGAACTCAAGCAGCTGCTGCGGCCCAGGGCCCCCTGCTGGGCAGGCCTTGCCACGGAGGCGAAGCAAGCCCAAAATTCCCTTACTATCAGTAAGATACGGGGGAAATCCAAAAGGACTGGGATTCTTTTTAACCCAAGTGTGGAACCACAGGCAGGACTGGGAGGAGGATTTCCCCTCAGATGCCGTACGCGTGAGGTGCATTACCAGAGCCCTGGAGGGGGTGGCAGCTGAGTGGATGGTAGTACTCCATAATGAAGATTCTCCTCTGATCAGGAATTATGACCAATTCATGACAGCCCTCAGAACATGCTTTGAGGACCCATTAGCCGAGCGAAGGGTGAGAATTAGAATGAACTCCATACATCAGGAGTAGAGATCGGTGGCGGAGTACACCCAGGAGTTCCGCGAGTTGGCACCCTACATGAGAGGGTGGTCAGAAGTACACCTGCTGGAGAGCTATAAAGATGGACTAAATGAGGATGTCTACAAGGATTGCTGCTCCCGAGGGGCCCGTAGGGATCTGCAGAGTTGGTACGTGCTGGCCGCAGACATGGAGATCGACTTGGTCAGAGATCATTTCTGCAGTGGGCGCACCTGAAACCAACCACCCTCCTTATCCCACAAGGGGACTCCAAAGGCTGCAGTGGGACTGGCAGGCTCCAAGCCAAAGCCCTCCGTGTGTTTCAGATATGGAAAGGAAGGGCACCAAGCGGCTGAGTGCTTCTCTAAGTCTGGACCCAAGGCGACCCCTAGTGGAGGGAAGAGAGCTGACAAAGCACCTGTGAAGCTGCCCTAAAAGGGGTAGAAGTCGTTGAGTTCAGTCCCCTGAACCAGGATGAGTTGGGAAATCCGAACCTCACCGATGACAGCGAAATCAAAACCGATTCTGACGAGGACCTCCTGGTAAGTCATGGCCATCCCAGTAGAACTAAAGTTACCATCCACTGGGGCCCACCGGAAGATGCTAGCCCTTCTAGATTCGGGATGTGTGTGTCAGCTAGACAGATCGGTAGCTGGAGGGGGGCAGCCCATTTTGTAACCGAACCAATTGAGATGAGGATGGGGGATCACTGAACTTTATTGTGGCCCCTGGCATGGAACGATCCCTCCTACTTGGGTTGCCCTGGCTCCGAAAATGGAACCCATATAAATTGGAAAACGGGCGTGTTGCGCATCCGCTCTAATCAACAAGGGAAGAGAGGGGAGAACCCCTATTGCATAGCCAAAGTGGCAAGCGAGGGAGCAGCGACTGCAATGCACCACACTGTAGGGGAAGAAAAGATCCCAAAAGAGTACTGGAACCTCCAGGAGTGTTCAGTGAAAAGGTGTCAGATGTGCTGCCCCCCCACTGACCTCCAGACTGTAGCATAGAAATCCTTCCTGGGGTAAAACTCCCTAAGCCAAAAATCTACCCCATGATCCCCTGGGAGTTGGGGGAACTACGAGACTTTATTGATAAAAACCTAAAACTCTGCTTCATCCAACCGGCTAGGCCACATGTAGCCACCCCGGTACTATTCCGGGAGAAGAAGGATGGGTCTTATTGCCTGGTGGTTGACTATCGGAATTTGAACACAATTTGCATAGAAAACATCTACCCCCTGCCCCTCATGAAGGACATGCTATCCCACCTGGGCAAAGGAAAGATTTTTACTAAGGTGGACTTGCGGGAGGCGTATTATAGAGTTTGGATTAAGGAAGGTGATGAATGGAAAACTGCCTTCAACTGCCCGCTGGGATGTTTCCAGTTTCAGGTGCTCCCTTTCGGACTGCAAGGAGCCCCTGCAGTGTTCATGCAACTGATCAACGAAGTACTGCACGAACACCTTTACAAGGGGGTGCTGGTCTACCTTGATGACATCCTTATTTACACTGTGACCATGCAGGACCATGTAAAACTGGTGAGAGCCGTCCTGAAAAAAACCTAGAGCTGCTGAACTGTATGCTAAGCTATCAAAATGCGAATTCCACCAGACTAAAATTGACTATCTGGGGTACTGCATTTTGCATGAGGGGATAGAAATGGATCCAGAAAAGGTCCGGGCCATGTTGGAATGGCCTCCCCCACACACCCGTAAGCAACTACAAAGTTTCCTGGGTTTTGCTAATTTCTATCGACAATTCATCCCCTCATTTGCAAAAATTGCCTTACCGATTACTAACCTTCTAAAAACAAAAGGAGAGGAGAGGCCAAAACCCTCCCAGCCTCTTGAGTGGACTATGGAATGTCAGGCGGCTTTTGAAAAACTGAAACATCTGTTTGCTGCCGAACCTGTCCTTAAACATCCTGACATGGAAGCCCCGTTTGTTGTTCAGGCTGACGCCAGCGATGTGGCCGTCGGGGCGGTGTTACTCCAAGCAAATGCTGAGGGGAATTTACAATCCTGCGCCTATACCTCTCGGAAATTATCTGAGACCAAGAGGAGATGGGCCATATGGGAGAAGGAGGCTTTTGCTGTTCGTTTGGCGCTGTTAGCCTGGAGGCATTTCCTGGAAGAGGCGAAGCACCCCTTTGAAGTGTGGACTGATCACAAAAATATTGGCTTTAAAAACGCCACAAAAACTGTCGCCTAAGCAAGTTTGCTGGGCCCAACACTTTATCCGATTTAATTTCTCCCTGCGCTACCTTCCTGGAGGGAAGAACTTTATGGCAGATGCCCTCTCAAGACTGCCTCAATACAATAGCGTTCGAGAGGAAGTAGCGAGCTGCCCCATATGTGCTTCAGCAAAGAGGCCTCCTGGGAAACCATCTGGGCTGCTTCAGAGTGTAGCCAGGCCGGGAGCCCCATGGAGGGAAATCTCCATGGATTTTATTGTTGAGTTGCCTGAAAGTGAAGGGAATAAAGTCATTTTTATTCCAAATATCCTTATAAACCTTAATCTTGGAGCTGTAGTCATGTTCCTGGATCTGTAATTATCTGTTACCTTATTCTGTTTTTCTTGTAGGAATAATGTCTTTCTGCAGGAGGGCTGAATGTCAGCCTCCACCTTTTTATTGCTTGTTTGCAATAAAAGGAGGGAGGGGGGAGCTGTTTGAATGTCTGGGAGAGGGGAAGTACGCTGGTGGAGAAGAGGAGAGAAAGTTTTCTTCAGCGTTTTCTCTGAAGCTGAGAAGAGCGCTGATAACCACTCAAGGTCAACCGTTGTGGCATACCAGGAGGATGGCACCATTGAATGCTGCACCCCACATGACCCCTGGGGGGGAGGTGGATTGGATAACCCTGACTGGATGATTGGGGAGAGGGTTTTAGGGATGCTTTCTATATGTGATTTTCGCACCTATTGTCTCAGACCTTGCTTTTCTTTGGTTGCATTCAGTTCATACTCAGTAAAAGTACCTTTCTCTAGTTGGGGTTTTTCTTTCTTGAGTACTGAAAGGAGGCACACCTGACATTTACAACCTTAATGTTGTCTACAAGCCAGGACGTGAAATGTATATTAGTGATTCCTTGAGTATACCTTGAGTGATCATGTGACACTCGGAGGAGAACATGAGCATCAGACAGTCTGCTGGTTGCAACAAGGAACAAGCTTTTTTCACCGAAGTTAATCAAGCAGGCTATTTTAATGTCTTTCAGAGATGAGATCGCCGTACAAAACGGGATCTTGTACAAGGGCCCAAGAGTCATAGTGCCTAGGTTAATGAGAGCAGAGATGTTATTGCGCACACACTCAAGCCATATTGGCGGAGGGGCATGCTATAGATAAACCCATGATACTGGCCCAACATGCAGGGTGAAATCAAGGACTTTGTTAGCAATTGTTCCACCTGCAATGAATATGCATATTCACAACAAAGAGAAACCATGATGTCAAATGAGATACCATCACATCTTTGGCAGATTGTTAGCATGGACTTATTCAACTATGCAGGAAAAGAATATTTAATATTAGTTGATCATTATTCTGACTTTTGGGAAATTGAAGTCCTCACGGACTGTTCGGCTGAGACTACCATTAAGAGATGCAAAACTCAGTTTGCACGTTATTGCCAACCAGATAAAGTGATCTCAGATAATGGTTCTCAGTTTACGAGTTTACAATTTAGGAAATTTGCCGCTGAGTGGGAATTGGAGCATGTGACCTCTTCACAGCATCATCCACAAGCTAATGACAAAGCTGAATCAGCTGTGAAGATCTCTAAGAATCTATGTAGGAAAGCTCACAGTGAAGATAAAGATCCATGGAAAGCCATTCTACATTGGAGAAGTACTCATCTGAGGGCATGGACAGTAGTCCAGCACAGAGACTGATGGCAAGGAGACTAAAGACATCACTACCAGCGGTCGACAGGCTGCTTGGTGATACAAGGGATTCCAGAAAAGTTAAGGCTGAAGAGAGACAAGCAGTCAAGGCAAGATATGACAACTTAGCTAGAGATTTGCCAGAATTGAAGATTGGGGAATGGATTCATATGAAACCACCGCCTGGAGATTGAACAGATCACTGGAAAATGGTAGCTGCTTACAACAAGTAGCTCCATGTTCCTATTTAGTGGACATTGAAGGAACCTTATATTGTCATAATCGGGTAGACTTGTGTGTAGCTGAGCGGCCAGATTTTACATATCCTGTGAACAGGCCAGATGTATCTGGTATTACCATGCTGCACTTAACCCATGGACAATGAGGAATGCACAGGGATGGGGCCTCAGATTAATGTTGATGAGAGCTTGGAGCAAGTGGGTATACCTGATAGCAGTCGAGCGCCGGACACTCTAGTAAGTGGCGAGAAGAGCCCAGCGGTTCCAGTGAGGTCAGAGAAGCCCATAGTGCAAAGAAAGCCAGTCGGCACAAGAGAGCCAGTCGTCACTCGCAGCGGCCGATGTTCGCAACCACCTGACAGACTTAACTTGTAGAAAGTGTTATATTGTTTCTTTTTACAATTTGAACTCTTTTACAATGTTTTATAAAGTTTAATTATGTGATAGTTGTGTTAATATGAAAAGGGAAGATGATATAGTTGCTTGCATCATAACTTTGTATGTTTCACAATGTTTTATAACCTTTATAATGTTTTAATAAGGTTTATAATGTTTTAATATGTGATAGTTGTGTTAATATGAAGGGAAGATGTTACAGTTGCTTGCATCGGAACTTTGTATGTTTCACAATGTTTTATAACGTTTATAATGTTTTAATTAGGTTTATAATGTTTTAATGTGTGATAGTTGTGTTAATATGAAGGGAAAATTTTACAGTTGCTTGCATCGGAACTTTGCATGTTTCACAATGTTTTATAACGTTTATAAGGTTTTAATAATACAGTGCTTTATATCATTTTAATGCATATATATAATGCTTATAAGGTTAATAAGGTTTTATAATGTTTTAAAATGTGATAGTTGTATTAATGAAAAAGGGAACATGTTACAGTGGTTATGTCTGCAGTCTTGGCAGGATTAGTTTGAGATGTATTCCCTGACTCTCAAGGAGCTGCCTTCAGATGCTCCTGTGAGGTATTTCCGGTTCCTGTCTTATGTAGATATATACCTGTAATGATGGCTTGTTGGGCATCCTTCTATGATTAAAACTACTTGAAACAGCAGCAATGACTAAAAATTACTCTGAAATCTGTTAGAAATAAGAATAACACACACAATTCTATTTAAAGGAAAACATTTATGTGTCATCTCTCTTAAGAAAATAAAATCCCACAGTAGGCTAAAAACTGAACAAATAAATGTAATCTGACATTTATTTGCCATTTGATGTTTTCCAGTTATAGTTAATAGAGAATTGGGGATGGATGTATTTTGAATTTCAAGTTACATTAAGCTTTGACCCTGAATTTAAGAGTTCATTTTTGAATTGATCTATTCTCATGAGGACTTTTCTCCAGTTTTTCCCATAAATAAATAAAAAAAAAACATGTCCATGCAGGTGGTGTAATTAAAACAGCCACATTTTGTATGTTACAGGAATGCATACTGGAAAATTTATTTGTTTAAGTAAATATTGATTTATCATTGAACTTTGTTTGCCATGACAGGTATTTTTCTATCTATAATATTGTTTTAGAGAGTCCATATTGGGATAAAAAACCATATTTTTCAGAGTATAAGATGCACCAGAGTATAAGATGCATCTTAAATTTGGGGGAGGAAAATAAGAAAAAAAGAATTCTACCTTTGCCTACCAGCATTTAAGGTGGTGCTGCTTTACACCGCCCTCCTCTTCCTCCTGCAAGCGAGAGGTACCTCGGAGATTCGGCTGGGAAAGAGGGCGTCAGTTACTGAGAAGTTCTTTTCCAGAAAACTTATCGGGATACTCCTGCGATCTGCAGGGACTACTCGCTTTCCCCCAAAGAGACCCCTTGCATGCTCTGGGGGGAGGGTCAGAGCACAGCCTGAGGAACAAACCTCTTTGGGATGGTCGGGGGGGGAATCTGCCCTGCGACTTTGGTGAACAAGGCGGGCCCCATGATTTGCAGCTGGTCACCATCCCGATTCCAAAGGAAAGCGTTTTTGGGTGGCAGACCCACGATCCCCTTCCCAGTTCCAAACATGGGGTGTGCAGAGGCAAAAAAGTGCATCGCGTTTCAGGCGGCAGATTTGGCCAGGAGGACAGGGAAGGTGAGTCTGCTGAGAAGGAAGATGAGAGCACGTGGCTCTGCAATATGCAATGGGAAGAAAAGCATTTTCAGGCGGCAGTGCTGTAATCCCCTCCCCGAATCCAAAACGGCTCCCGGTTCCCCATTGCACACTGGCCGCAGGCTGCAGGGGAACTGGCCGCCACCTGAAATGCGGCTCTGAGAATTGCATTGGGGAATCTGGCCAATGGGCAGTGGTAGCTGGAAAGGAGGGACGTTTCACTTTAAGGGCTCCCGTTCGGCTTGGCTCGGCTCCCAGGCACGGAGAGAGCTTAGGTGGTGGTGGCAGCTCCTCACATTGCTGGGGAGTGAAGTCATTGCGACCATTGTCTGCCCCGAGCTGCCTGTTGGGTAGCCAGAGGGGTGACCAGCTGCAAACCGTGGGGCCCGCCTTGTTCCCCGAAGCTGCCGGGCAGATTCCCCCCCACAGACCATCCCAAAGAGGTTTGTTCCTCAGGCTGTGCCCCTACCCAGATCCCCGCTGTCTGGAGCTGCCCGAAAATGTCTGAAGGGTGGGGGCTGGTGGGTGGGCAGGGATACATTCGGACTATAAAATGCACTCAGATTTTCACTCTCTTTTTGGGGATAAAAAGGTGCGTCTTATATTCAGAAAAATACGGTAAATGGTCAGCCTAACTTTAATGTTCATTCTGTTCACATCAGACTGCACTACTTTTATTTCAAAGGATAACCCAACAGGTCACAGGATTATCTTAATTTCATTTAAACTTCACAGTTGCTTAGTATTTCTGATTCCTTATTACTATCTAATAGGCAGTAATAGTCCAAGTCACTATAGCTAAATTGCAGGTAGCAGTATATAAAGCCTGATGGAAAGGCCTCTTTTTAATATTCTTATAAAATTAGCAAATATGGTTGTATGTTGTTCTGGTGTAATTACAAATTAGTACTATCTGGTACTTTTTGTCCTATATTTAATGTTACACTTTTTGACCAGAGTACAGGTAGTTCTTGACTTACAACCACAATTGAACCCAAAATTTATGTTACTAAGTAAGATTTGTTAAGTGAATTTTGCCCCATTTTATGATTTTTCTTGCCACATTTGTTAAGTGAATCACTGCAGTTGTTAAGTTAGTAACACAGCTGTTAAGTGAATCTGGTTTCCCCGTTGACTTTGCTTGTCAGAAGTTTGCAAAAGAGGATCACATGACCCTGGGACACTGCAACCATAATAAATATGAACCAGTTGTCAAGCATCCAAATGTAAATCACATGAGATAGGGATGCTGCGATGGTCATAACTATGAAAAATGGTCTTAGGATACTTTTTTCAGTGCTGTTGTACTTTGAATGGTCACTAAGTGAACTGTTGTAAGTTGAGGACTACCTGTATTTTTTTCTTTACATTTGAAGTTTCATATTGTTTTGTGGTCTCCATCTTTTCTTACTGAACTTGTCTATATGTGGGTGTTTTTTAATTAGGTTGAAAATGAATATGGAAGTTATTTCGCATGTGATTTTCATTACCTCCGTTACCTGAAGAATCTTTTTCGCCAGTACCTTGGGAATGAAGTAGTCCTGTTCACAACAGATGGTGCAACAAAGATTTTTTTGCGCTGTGGAACTCTTCAAGGCCTTTATTCAACCGTGGATTTTGGACCACGTGAGTGGCAATTGAAGTTACATTTTATCTTGAAAATAAAAGATTTTTAGATAATTTATTAGTAAACACAGGAAGCTTCCTTAAACTGATTCAGGTTTTTTTTCAGATGATCTGTACATTGACTGGTTATTTGCTAGGTTGTTGTTTCCCAGCTAAGAATCTGGAAGTTAAATTTGGGGCCTTTTGTACATAGAGTATCTACATCAGAATGGGACTTTTTGGCTTGAACTTAGATGAAGCCCTTCAAGACAGATTGGTCTGTGGGGTTTGGGATATTCGGTTACAGAAACGATTATTGGTGAAACCAACGTTAATGCTACAGACAGCAGTACAGGAGGCGCAAGCCGCCGAATCATCAAATAGATTGAAGGAAGAGATACAGAAGTCAGGCAGCCCCCTGGCAGCTAGAAGCGGGGAAACCGTCCATTGGGGAGAGGTGGAATTAAGGGAGGACACTGAAGATAAAGGAAATAATCATGATGATGTCTATCGGTTGAGAGCGGCTAGCAAGGAGCGCAGATGGACAGAGGATCAAAAGTTGTTCTCCTCATATATAGGGTGCGGCAGAAACCATCCGAGAGCTATGTGTCGCCATAAAAACACCATTTGTAGACGGTGTGGGAAGAAGGGTCACCTAGCACAAGTTTTCCGTGCTGCGTTGCCTGCCCTCTCCCCCAACTGGACAGACTTCAATTCGAAATATGGAGGTGAAGTGTGGCCCACCAAGGCTAATAACCCCAGAGGATGAGTGTTTTACTATTAACACAGATGCTTGTCATTCAGAGGGGGTGAGCAATCAAACCGGGATTCTGGGAAGTAGTAAAATTTACTTTACTGTCCTTATTGCGGGATCTCCCTGCCAGAAGGAAGTGGATACGGGATACAACAATTGTATCCTGGCAGATTCTACAGCAATTGGTACCACACAGAGCTGAGCGGAAGTTTATGCGTAGTCGTATGCATTTGAGAGATTATCAAGGAAATATCATCCCCATTAAGGGTAGCGGAACATTCCACGTAGAATATAAAGACTTCTCCAGGCCACTTAAATTGGTTGTTGTTGAAGGTGCACTGCCTAACCACCTGGGACTGGATTGGTTTGCAGCATTGGGGTTAGAGATTACCGGGGTTAATAAAATCCAGGGTGAAACCATTGGAGAGTTGAGTAAAGAGTTCGCCGATGTGTTTGATGGAAAGTTGGGAGAATATAGGGGTACTCCGATATCCTTCAGTTTGGACCCCAAGGTGGCACCAATAAGAATGAAACCGAGGAGGGTGCCATTTGCACTAAAGCCAAAGGTTGACGAAGAACTAGATAAATTGATTCAGCAAGGCGTACTGGAATTGCTGGACCACGCCAAGTGGGAGACCCCTATTGTTACGCCACTGAAACCAGACGGGTCAATATTTGTGAATATTGTGCGGACTATAAATGTACGTTGAATAGGGCTCTTCAACATAATGCTTATCCGTTACCAGTGGTGCAGCACTTGTTACATTCGTTGGGGGGGGGGTGAATAAGATCTTCGCAAAGTTAGATCTTGCCCAAGCATATCAGCAGCTCCCTATAGATGACTCCACTGCCAAAGCCCAAACAAACATAACACATTGGGGGGGTGTTCCGTTGCCACTGCCTACAGTTTGGGGTGAGCATGGCCCCAGGGTTGTTTCAAAGCCTGATGGAATGTTTGTTATATGGCATCCCGGGGGTTGTGCCCTATTTCGATGACATGCTCATCTCCGCTACCAATAAAACAGAATTATTTGAATGACTACGACTAGTGCTACAAAGATTTCAAGAGGCTGGACTAAAGGTAAAGGAAGAAAAGTGTAAAGTAGCAGTAAATCAAATCGAGTTCCTGGGATACCTGGTCGATACGTTCAGATTGCACCCCACCAAGGAGAAAGTACAAACAATACAGGCTGCACCAACACCAAGGAATAAGATGGAACTCCAGGCCTTTTTAGGGCTCCTCAATTTCTATAGTGTATTTTTGCGACAAAAGGCATCTGTCGCTGAACTATTACATCAACTATTGGGGAAAAAGGTGCCATGGGTATGGGGGCACAGAGAAGCAGCTGCATTGGTGGGGGGGGGGGAATTAAGTTCCTCAGATAGCATCTTAGTTCAGTTTAATGAATGTCTGCCATTAGTTCTGACATGTGATGCATCCACGTTTGGAGTCGGGGAAGTTTTGAGTCATCGCCTTCCAGACAATCATGAGGCTCCAATAGCATTCTTTTCCAGGACATTATCATCTGCTGAGAGAAACTACAGCCAATATGACAAAAAGGCATTGGCTGCGGTGGCTGGAATTAAGAGATTTCACGAATATGTTTATGGAAGGAGATTTGATTTAGTGACAGATCATAAGCCACTTTTGGGACTAATTGCGGGGGACCGGCAAACACCGTAGGTCCTGTCCCCAAGAACGACGTGTTGGACAGAGTTCTTAGCAGCATATAGTTATCGACTTATACATCAACCCGGCATAGAACTGGGCCATGCTGACAGCCTAAGCCAATGTCCGCTACCTAATCTAGTGGAGGATCCAGCTCCAGCAGCATCAGTACTGATGATTGAGACCATGCCATCCGTTCTTGTTACGATTGCAGAAGTGGAAACCCAGTCGAGAAAAGACCGAACAATCATGCAAATGTTAAACTGGGTGTGGAGGGGATGGCCTAAAGAGACAGGGAGTGTAGAGTTTAAGCCATTCTGGGCAAGGCAATACGAACTTTCAGTGGAGAAGGGTTGCCTATTGTGGGGGAATCGGATAGTGATACCCTCAAGGCTAAGGAAATCATTATTAGAGACTCTACACAAAGGCCACCCTGGAATTATAAGGATGAATGCGTTGGCCCGTAGTTATCTGTGGTGGCCAAATATAGATAGAGATATTGCAGAGTGGGTGGCGTTGTGTCAAGCATGCCAGGAATCGAGACTGGCACCTCCTGCAGCATCACCACGGGACTGGGAAACACCGAAAGGCCCCTGTCTAGAATACATCTCAATTTTGCAGGGCCAATAAAGGGGTTGTCCTTCCTGATTGTTCTGGATGCCCATTCCAAATGGCTGGAGATGGCCATAATGAGGTCAACCACGACGGACGCTATTGTTAGGGTATTAAACAAAATGTTTGCGACACATGGGTTGCCGGACATGTTGGTATCAGACAATGGGCTGCAATTTACGGCAACGTCATTCAAGGTATTCCTAGTAAACCAAGGAATACGTCATGCCCTGGTCACGCCATTTCACCCCGTGAGTAACAGGCGGAGCGAATGGTGCGAGCGACGAAAGAGGCCTTGACTCGAATGGGTCCAGGGGACTATCAAGAGAAACTTGATAAGTATTCGTTCAACCAACATGTCACTCCCTCTGTAGTCACCAGAAAGTGCCCAGCCTAATTACTTATGGGTCACCAGCTGAGAACAAATTTAGATAGAATATACCCTGATTATTCGACAGAAACCCTCATAGACTGGGAAAGTACGGCCAGAACCTTTGAGCAAGGTGATCTAGTATACGCCCAGAATTATACCGGTCAACCCATATGGGTGTCGGCACAGATTACAGATGTTATGGGTCCCCATTCGTACTGGGTGGAGCTTGAGGATGGGCACCTGTGGCACCAACATATCAATCAGCTTCAGAGCCAAGTGAGGGGGACAGCCATTCGGGAGCTGGAAGAAATAAATTGGGGTGAGAATCCAGAAGAGCAAGAGGGACAACGCAGTGAAAGGGTATCTGAAGGGCTGAGACCAGTGCAGAATGAAACACCTGTTATTGAGGGTCCATTGCCGCAGAGCTCCTCTCGCTTTTCCCCATCTCCGACTGAAGGATATGTTCAGGGAGGCAGGGGGCAGACAATATATGTAAACCATCTGATGTAGTTGAAGAATCATCAAGAATGCAGTCGACGTGTGAGGGCCCGACAGAAATACAGGAGAGCCAGTTGACACGAAGCCGCCGTAGACCAATGTATCTGGATGATTATGTTTGTGATTTACAAAGTTTCCCCGAGGAAGGGAGAAGGGGTGTTATGTCCGCGCAGGCGTGTGCAGAGACTTTCCTTCTGCCATGCAGGTGCAGGACATATTTTAAAGTTATTGGTTAAAGGCTGACAGTTTTCCTTTAAAAGGGGCTCTCAGCCGGAAATTGCATGTTGGTTTTACTGAGTCATTATCTGCAATAAACATTGCTACTGGAAGTTTGGTTTCTCGTCTGTGTTCCTATTCCTACACATTCCACTTAGAGTCAGTTTTTCACCAGGATCATGCCAATTTGATATGTCCCAATAAAATGTTCATTGAGGAATTTGCCTGCCTCCGAGTTCTTATTAAATGGGATGTATTACTTGGAACCCTGAGATCTATAAGTAAAGCGCTCTATGTATTATATCCATGTCCTTTCCTGCTTATTAAGGCTTTCTGTGAGATGATACATGTTTGAAACCAGGCAATGGTAACTGCACTTTTGAGGAAAAGATCATTAAAGAAATGGTTGTCTGTTGTCCCCTTTGGATCTAGTAATACTGGACAATTTTTGTCCCATCTTCCTTTTTCAGGGAAGGTTGTTGAGAAGGAGATCACTTTGCAGTTTCAGAGTATCTTACAAGAAACAGATTGTCAGGACCCTTTTCATCCAGTTTCAGACCAGGTTAGAATCTAGAACCGGCCCTGGAGGAAGTAGGAGAACCATTGCAACATCTTTACCGCAGTCAAATTTTAGTAGGAAAGGAGAGTCCTAGCCAGAGAGTTGAAGAGGCCATTTGAAATGGTTGGAAATAGAATACCTGATTGGTCTTAAATTATAGATTGTGTTGCTTTTTGCTTTGCTTTGTTTCTGATTTTAATTAAATGTAATCCACTGAGACTTTCTATTTGCAAGGTGGACAGCTATATAAATTATTTAAATAAATAGGCTACTGTTTAATGAAAAGAACACATTGGGCAGTATTTCTTAATGTTTTAGTATATCATCAACTTTGAATGTTCTGTTGCAATAGAATGTAACAGGACATTCTTGCTGTTTCTTTTTCCTTTCAGAGTTATTATTTTTTTTCTATTAGATAATGTCTACCAAAGAGGAAAGGAATGAATTACAGGTAATTCTCGACTTACAACAGTTCAAAGTTCAAAGTTATAACAGCACTGAAAAAAGGGACATTTATTTTTTATATCATTTATTTTATATCAAATTTATATACCGCTCTTCTCCCTGAGGACTCAGGGCGGTGTACAGCCAAATAAAAACACAAACTACAAACATTAAAATACTATTAAAAAGATATATATAAATTTGGCCCCGTAATTAAAAAACAATGACAAACCAGTTAAAAATATTTAAAAGTATTAAGCCAGCCCTGCTTGCTGAAAAAAGAAATTTTTAAGGGCATGGCGGAAGGCACTGAGGTCTTGGATTCTCCTTATCTCTGGGGGCAGTTGGTTCCAGAGGGTGGGTGCCCCCACAGAGAAGGCCCTCCCCCTGGAGGTCACCAGCCTGCATTGTTTGGCTGATGGCACCCCGAGGAGGCCCTCTCTGTGGGAGTGCACAGGTCGATGGGAGGCCGTCGGTAGCAGCAGGCGGTCTCGAAGATATCTAGGTTCTATGCCATGGAGCGCTTTAAAGGTGATAACCAACAACTTGAAGCACACCTGGAAGACCACTGGGAGCCAGTGCAGCTCACGCAGGAGAGGTGTTGTATGGGAGTGCCATGCAGCTCCCATAACTACCCGCGCGGCCGCATTCTGGACCAGTTGGAGCCTCCAGGTGCCCCTCAAGGGGAGCCACATGTAGAGAGTGTTGCAGTAGTCCAGGCGAGAGGTGACGAGGGAATGAGTGACTGTATGCAGGGAATCCCGATCAAGAAAGGGCCGCAACTGGTGTATCAGGCGAACCTGACAAAAAGTCCCCCTGGCCACAGCCGTCAGATGTTCCTCCAAGGACAGCTGCATATCCAGAAGGACTCCCAGATTGCGAGCCCTCTCCGAGGGGGCCAAAGACCCAATAGTTAGAGATGGAGTCATCTGACCATATCGGGATGCCGGGAACCACAGCCACTCAGTCTTGGAAGGGTTGAGTTTGAGCCGGTTTCTCCCTATTCAGATCCGCACAGCCTCCAGGCACCGGGACATTACTTTAAGGGCATCGTTGGGGTGGCCAGGGGTAGAGATGTACAGCTGGGTGTCATCAGCGTACTGGTGGTACTTCACCCCAAAGCCACGGATGATCTCATCCAGCGACTTCACATAAATGTTGAACAGAAGGGGCAAGAAAACTGACCCCTGAGGCACTCCACATATGAGAGGCCTCAAGGTCGACCTCTGCCCCCCTGCCAACACAAACTGCGACCGGTCGGAGAGAAAGGAGGAGAACCACCATAGCACGGTTCCCCCCATCCTCAACTCTTCCAACCGGTGCAGCATGATACCATGGTCGATGGTATCAAAAGCCGCTGAGAGGTCTAACAGGGCCAGAACAGAGGAGCAACCTCTGTCCCGAGCCCTCCAGAGATCATCTACCAACGCGACCAATGCCGTTTCTGTGCTGTGCCCGGGCCTGAAGCCCAACTGGAACGGATCTAGATAAGACATTTCCTCCAGGAATTGTGGAAACTGTCGTGCGACCACACTCTCAACAACCTTCGTCACAAAGCAAAGGTTGGAGGCAGGACGATAGTTGGCTAATACTGCCGGATCCAGGGAAGGCTTCTTGAGGAGGCTTCTTGAGGCTTCTTGAGGACATGATTATTTTTTCACACTTATGACCATTGAAGCATTCCCATGTCATATGATTTGCATTTGGATGCTTGACAACTGATTCCTATTTATGCCGGTTGCAGTGTCCTGTGGTCATGTGACCTTTTTGCAACCTTTTGACAAGCAAAGTTAGAAGCTGAACTCACTCAACAACCATGTTACTAATTTAACAACTGCGGCGATTCACTTAACAAATGTAGAAAGAAAAGCCATAAAAAGGGCAAAACTCACTTAACAAATTTCTCACCTAGCAACATAAATTCCGGGCTCAATTGTGATCATAAGTCGAAGACTACCTGTAATTCATAAAGCCTTTTTACTTTATTAGCATTAGGAACTATTTTTTTAAAAGCAGTGCATACACACCAGAGGTGGGTTTCAGCAGGTTCTGACCAGTTCTGGAGAACTGGTAGCGGAAATTTTGAGTAGTTTGGAGAACTGGTAGTAAAAATTCTGACTGGCCCCGCCCCCATCTATTCTCTGCCTCCCAAGTCCCAGCTGATAGGGAAGAAATGGGGATTTTGCAGTAACCTTCCTCTGGAGTGGGGTGGGAATGGAGATTTTACAGTATCCTTCCCCTGCCACACCCACCAAGCCATGCCCCGCCCACCATGCCACACCCACAGAACCAGTAGTAAAAAATTTTGAAACCCACCACTGATATACACATGTATATATTTCTAAAATAAGTGGTGGGGAAAGTAACTGAATATAAAGGTTTTATTAAAAAGCTTCATTAAATGTAGAATAATGTTACATACCTCAGTTTTAACACAAATTATATTTTAGTTTATTTTTACCTATTACTTGAACTAGTTTCTATTGAATTAGGTGGCACAAAGGATTCATGCCTTAATACAAAGTACCACGCATTTTCTTTATGATTACACTTTTCTGCATTTTATTTTAAATTTTCATTCAGCAAAAATTCCTGAATTCAAAGACATCCTTAAAGGAATATTATTGTAATCATCATCATCGTCGTCGTCATCATCATTATCATCATCAGCATCAAAAAGTAATACTTTCAAAATCTTTTACTTTCCCTGTCCTACTCATACCCACAAACTATTTTGAACTAATTAACCTTGCCTATGAAAGGAAGTGGCAACACAAAAATATATTGGGGAATGTATTTTGCTGGTATAGCATGCAGAATTAAGTGAACATAGCTTTTTTTCCTTCTTACTTTAGTAATATCTTGATAGGGTCATTTTTTTCAGAAGGTTCCATACTACTTGGACAGTTTGAACCAGACTAGAAACCATGGATTTTAGCTTGCCTTAAGCACAAATCTAGCAGGATAACATTGACCCAGTTATTCTTTTTCAGCCTTAATACACAGGCAATGGCAAATAGCTTCCAAAATCTTTGTAAGAAAACTTGTCCAGGCAGCTGCTGGGCGTCAATGCTGACTCAAAGGCTCATACACCTATACTATTATGTAACTGATCATTTTTTATTCTCTGCTTCTGATTTCACAAATAACATACATGTATGTAATAAAGTGTCATTGTACCTTTTGTTAAGGGTAATTTCTCTGTGTACCATAAGAATAGTCTTTAAACAGAGGCCTGCAGTTAATAAATAAGATTTGACTCTTTGTTTTATTGATTTGCAGATACCAATGTCACTGAAGCCTTTTTAACTCAGAGACGAACTGAGCCTCAAGGCCCCTTGGTATTATTTTTTCTTCATACATTCATACTTTACTGCTGATATAAGTACAAAGATAGTAATAATGAATTAATATTGAACAACCCAATTTGAATTGGTAATGTATATTGTTTGGGTTTTTTTTTTTAACAAAGATGGAATGCCCTTTAATTTAGGAGTATTATGTTAATTCCTTGTAGTCACAAGAGTTGGATATGTTGCACATAAGATATATCAAGCATCAGGCATATGAAAGTGTAGAAGATGAGTATATATGGGTAGGAAAAAGAATGTCTGTAGCATATTTTTAAAAATCTTAAAATTGTTGCCACGTACAAAAATGTATGCATTGCCCCTTTATATGTGTAGTCTGCATCTAGGAACTATAATTGGGACAAGCAACTTGGTCAACAGAGAGACAGAGAGACAGACAGAGAGAAAGAGACAAAGTGAAAGAGAAAGAGAGAGACCGAGACAGACAGATAGACCCAGGGAGAGAGAGAGAGAGAGACAGACAGACAGACAGACAGAGAGAAAGAGAGAGGAGAACCAGACCCAGACCCTGTAAAGGTTGTAAATGTGGGCAGAACAATAACTGATGACCACCTTTTATCAGTCCACAATAGAAAGCGTCCTCACTCAGTGCATTACGATGTGATATGCTGACTTGACAGTCGTGGATAGAAAAACATTACAGAGGGTGATAAGCACATACAAAACATCATGAGCTGTCCCCTGATACCACTAGGTGACATCGCTAGGGCTTGCTGCCTTAGAAGAGTGAGGAAAATCCTCAGGGATGACTCACACCCTAGTCAGCACTTCTTTATTCTCCTTCCATCGGGAGCATAGGAGCTGCACAAATAGGCTGAAGAATTGTTTTTAGCTGTGGGCTCTCAGACTTCTGAATGAAAAATAACTACAACAACATAGTACGATTGACTTGTGGGTCCGGCGCAACATGCAATAAGTTCACATGGTGCAGTAGGATTGGGTGATTGTTAGCAGGATTCACTGGGATAAGGTTTTTTTTTTTTTGTCTTTCACTGTGAGTTGCATTGTGCTGGGGGGGGTGCAGGAAGGGAGGCTCAGCCAATCTCATAGTACACATGTTATAGTCTGACAATAAAGGTTTGAATTTTGAACTGAATTAGTCCCAGAGTTACTTTTTCATACCATTGTAATTGCTAATGGTTGCTGTTTGAGGCAGTCACTAAATGAGAACTATCTGTTGTAACCAACTTTCTGTAAAAGTTCTTGGGTACCTTTGTTCTTGAATATAGCAGGGAAGTTCAAACACTTAGAAGAAAGTTGGTAAGCAAAGTAATGAAACGTGAGACAGAGCTGGCGAGGGCAGTCCACAGAGGCAGTCCCCTCTGCGAAGTCCCCAGAGTTCTTTTTTACCTCTGGGGAGGAAGCAGTATGAGGCTCCCTATTTTCCTCGCCGCTGCTCCGGGCTTCGGGTGAACTCTGCGCTTTGCAGAGCCAGGTGATGGGACCAGACCAACCAACGAAAACTAACAGACTTTCTGAATAAGAAGGATGAAATCTGGACCTGGGACCCTAAACTGCAAGTACTTCTAACAACTGACTTTAAAAGCAAAGAAGAGTGGAAGGGGGGAAAAAAGAAAGTTTAAAATGGCGACTGGCTGAGGCTTGAGAAGAGCTGAAAGCGAAAGTACTTCCGTTTGACTAGTTTAATATGTTACAAAGTAACTGAGATAACAGTGCTGGCTAGAAGTGAAGAGAAATTTTTTTATTTCATGCTTCTTCCTTCTTAGAGGCTGATATTGGTATTGTTTGGAGAGAAGTCTTCTTCTTTAAAGGGGAAAAAGGAAAAAAAAATCTGCTTGTGTGGCAGGATGGCGTTAAAACTCACAAAGCCAGACAACCAAGCTGTGGGGGGGCTCCCCCATTCATAAACCACATGAACAAGTTTTGAGTTTGCAGATGCAGAGGAATGGCTTTAAAGATCTAACGCAATTTGTATTGGAGGAGATGGCAAGACATGATGAGATTGTGAACCAAAACCTTGAAAAATTTAGACAGGAAATTAAAGAGTTGGTTCAACAAAAGTATGATAAATTCAAGCAACATATGATAAGTTTCTTAGACGCAATGATAAAGATGGATGAAAAGTTTAATTCAGAAATAGAGTCTAATATGAAGGAAGTTGATTACAAGATTCATAATTTGGATAATAAAATACAAAGAATTGAAAATGATTTAACAACGATTCAAGAAAATAGCTCAGAAGTAGAGCTAAAAATAAAGGAAGCTGACTACAAGACTTACAATGCAGATAATACAAAACAAAGGATTGAAAATGAAGTCATAATGATGCAATTCAGATTTATGGAATTTGCGGTCAGAATTAGGGGAATACAGGAAGATAAAAGAGAAGATTTGAGAAAGATGTCTGCTGAAGTTCTGGCGGGGATTTTAAAAGTTAGTCCTGAAGAGGTATTCTGTAAGATTGATAAGGCCTACAGAGCAAATTCTTGGGTGGCAAAGCAAAGGCAGTTGCCTAGAGATGTGGTGATTTACTTTACCGATAAAGGAATAAGAAATGATATCGTGCAAAAGTCTTTTAACTCCACTCTTGAAATGTATGGAAGGAAGATTTGGATATTTAAAGAGCTACCGCCCAAGATGCTAAAAGATAGAAAGGATTTTGGTTTTTTGGTGACTGAGCTAAAGAAACAAAACATCCCATTTAGGTGGGATGCTCCAGTTGGAATAATATTGAGATATCAAGGAGAAAGATACCAACTAAATACTGTTGAAAAAGCGGAAGAATTTTATTATAAGGTTCTTAAAATGGACTCAACATCTCCATGTATAACATACGAGGGGAATAAAGAAAAGCAAAGTCAACAAGAGATTGAAACCCAGGCTAAGCAGATGGAGGCGGAGGTAATGGAAAAACAACAAGTTACAGAGGCTTTTGTGGACGAGCCGCTTATGGATTCTCCTTCAGAGGTTGTAGTTGGATTACCTATAAATACAAGAGAGGCGGCTTTGGATTCTAATGTGATGACTTATCAAGTTACAGACCAGCATGGAAATCTATCAGTTGATATACAACTCCTAGAAAGGCAACCAGGATGGAGATCTAAGCCACAAAAAGTTAAGAAAAAAAGAAGCAGGTCCTACAAAAATAAAATTTTTTAGACTGAACAACAGTGTAATGCCAGTTACTTAAGAGATGATTAAAAACATGAAAATATAGCTGAGGCAAAGTATTGGTTTATACTATCTTAAGGAGGGTGACAGATCTCTGCAGTGCTGTGTTTCTGGGATGTGGAAGATGGCCTTTAACTGAGTGGATTGGAACTTTCTATTTTGGACTCTTTGACAAATGGATTATGTTTATGCTGAGCTATAAAGCAAAGAGAACTATGGGACTGGGGCTTGCAGAAGATCTGGTTGTTACCCTAATATGGTGGTTGGAATTAATAATCTAGATGAAAGACATTACAGAAGACACTATATGGAATATAAATATTAAGTCACTCGGGTGGTTTTTTATATACGAAAACATTTATTATTGATGGGGGCAGATGGTAATTGAAGATACTGAACATACTGTTGGAACTAGAATTTGATGTTACCCTAGCATGGGTGATGGAATTAACAATCCAGCTGAAAGACATTACAGAAGATACCATATGGATTACAAGCTTAAAGTCATTTGAGGATTTTATCTATATATGGAAATATTTTTTAGTGATGTGGGCAGAAGAACAAAGATATTGAAAATATTATGTATGGTAGACCTGCAGGAAAGTGGGTGGAGATAGGCTAGCTTAGTGATTGTTTAGTTTAGGAAAAGGGATGTTATGTTATATTAATATACGTAAAAGATTTGAATTAAGAGATATATGTATGGGGGAGGAGGAAATGGATAGATTATGAGTTGAAATTGCCAAATTAGGATTTATTATATAATTTTATAGTTGAATGTTGCTTTGAAATGTATAGTATAAGGGGGATATAATAATATTGTTAGAAAGAAAGGGTCAGCATATGGGGGGTGGAGTAAAAAGGATGGTAAAGTATTATATAATCTGTTATTAATTTGGGTTTTATTCTGGAGAAGCCACAGGGGGAGGGGAGGGGGAGGGGGGGTAGGGAGGAGGGGAAAAAAAGGGGGGGGGAATTTGTATTTGAAAAACTTTTTCAATAAAAAAAAAAGAAAAGAAAGTTGATTATTAAATTTTAAACTAGAGCATAACTTAGTGTTACACAATAGGAACAATTAATATGAATATCTAGAACAGACTGCAAGGTTCAGTGACCACTGAAATAGATCCTATTGTCTACAGACCTAATCAGAAGTTTGACAAATCTTTCTTTTAAAATCTATCCATCTTTAACATAATGGGAAAATACTATGAAATGTTTTCATTTTACACTCCATAGTATTTCCCTTTTATGTTAAAGATGGAGCATGAGAAACTGTGTGTTAGGATTTGCTGGGTTTTGTGATTTTTTTTAAATGTTTTGAACGTTTTGAATGTTGACATATTTCATGTGAACTATATTGTGAAAACTGGAGAGAAATAAGGATAGTAAATGTGAATAGTAAAGTTTAAAGTTATTACTAAAAAGAAGCTACCAATGAATAACCCAGCATTAAAAAAAAAAGAGGGAGAAGAACCGTTCAGTGTGTTTTAGATCAGCTCAGTCTTGATTGTGGAGTAGAGAAAGTGAAATGGCTACTATATACTGGGAAACATTGGCAGTAACAAGGAACACGTAGACCTTGGCCTATGACCATTCAGTCAGTGACCTTCCTAAGTTATGATGGCGTTGAATGAATGTTGATTACAATGTTCTCAATTTTCCACATATCCTGATCTCGGTGCTTGGCAAGTTTCCTTGGCATCCTTGCGCACCCTCCCTGATTTGTGCCATAATTCTTGTGTATTTTCTCGTGACTATGAACTTAACTGGAGACACCAATCTTTACAGGAAGGATAAATTTAGATGGCTAGCCCAGGCATCTATTATTTTCACAA